AGTCTCCTTAAGACCTAATGAAAGGTCGTGTCCGTTACAGTGGCACGCACTCCCGTCGTTAGGGTTTATGCATCCCCTTTCCGCGACTAATGATAGATGTGCACATGAGTGGGTTATTGTTGTGATTATTAGGAGATGAGACATGATGATGATTGATTTATATTCATGCTGCGACCATACCATCTTTACATGTTATTATGTGCATAGTAGTGAGCACTACTTTATCATTTGTGCTCATTCCCACCTGCTCTTCACGGATGCAGGTTAAGCAGTGGCCGGGTGACGGGACAAAGGGCGAGTGGTGGTCTATTTATTGTTTCGTTTTGCTTCTGCTTAAATAATATGGTTGTTATGAACCTTCTATGATTTGGACATGTAAAAACTGTTTTTGAACTATGTCATGTTTGGATGTTTGGGAATATTTTGGAAAACCCTTTTTCGAAACTTGAATAATCATGGTGTTTGATTTATGAAGTTACAATTGTTCATGTTGGATATTATGTCGAGATGTGATTCAGGTTAATGAAAACCTTGTAAAAATCGGGTTTATGAATCCCCGTGGGTCCAGATAAGACTTGGACTAAGTAAATATGTGTTGGTTAATGCCCTTGATTTCGAAAATGGATTCGAAAAATTTATTCTGATTTTTAGAAAGTCTGGAATTTTCTTTAAAATCAAAGTGGGGTGTTACAGTTTGGTATCAGAGCCAGTCTGCGTTTCTGTAGACTGGTCTATATGTGAATAACTTGTTTATGTGATTTAGATCTTGTGTTGACCACTCGTCTTCGTCACGCCGCACTGCTTAAGGTATGTTTTATATAAGTATCAATGAAAATACTTATAATGTGAGTTGTGATTTTGCACGAGTAGCAATGAAACTACTTGTGATGTTTTACATTAGTAGTAACGAAACTACTTATGAGGTTTTGCATGAGTAGCAATGAGACTACTCATGAAGTGATATATTTGTTGTTTTGGGGCTTAAGGAAACTATCCACCTTGATTTAATCGAACTCTAGTTTTTGACATTGAACTCTAATGATATAGAGTTAAGTTCGGACT